AAGCGCAGTTATTCGGAACCTAAATGAGCGCCTGGTATTAATTCCAGAATTAAACGCAACACACCTTGACCACCGAAATGATACGTCATATGCTTCACACCGTTCACGTCCATGTAGGAGCCGAATTTAGCGGCGCGCCAAAAATGCCGGATGCCGATACTACAAAATAGGAAAGTTGCATAAGTAGCCGGATGTTGCGAGGTGAATCGGCTCACGATCATGACTGTGCCTGCAGCAAGACCCGCCACGAAGAACACTTCTTAACTCATCACGTGCGTGTAACAAAACAAACCCTTTGCAGTGAGCAATTCGCGTAAACCCTGCGCTGAAACCCTCGGTTCTGTTGCCATCGACTCGGCCAACATCATCGTCTTCCCCACCACCCACTTGAATCCAGTTATCGCACATTAATGCAGAAACCGCCTGAAAACAGTCAGCTCAACAGGAGGCACTCTGAGGTAGGGAAAACAAAAACTTCGCAATTTAAAGAAAGCGACTATGGGCAACAGCAAGAACTATGCAAAAAGAGACGCTGCAAAGAGGTCATTCTTAAACAGTTACTGAACAGCAGCAGAAAAGAGAACCAGTGCGGCAGCAAGCAGATTGAACAATGCCGCTAGAAAATTCGCCTCCGGCGCATCGAAGTACTTGCGCTTGAAATCGCCCAGCATCAACTGAAATTATCGGTGAAATGCTAAGTTATCGGTGAACAACAGCAAATTTCCCTTAATGTGCTAGCAGTGGCCAGAAAACTCGCCATTCGCCGCCCTGCTCCCTCTTCTCCCCTCCCTGCCGCTACTAGTTCCGAAGTCTCGCAGCAGTGGCGGATTTGGAATGAAGTGACGCAACATAACATGGAGCAAGGAAATACTACGCTCAACTGGATACAACTACTGATCCGAGGCGCAGGATGAAAAAAGGAAATAATGGTGCGTGCCGGAGACAACGACAACAGCTTTCTTGGCTTAAAAGCCACAATTCAGAGCTGCACCTCAAGTATGCGACAGAGCAGCGGCCTCAGAACAGGAAACTAAAGTGTGATTTAAAAAAAAGAAAAAAGCGCAGGACGCTGATGCATCAGAGATGAGAAGCAACACTGATAGGGAAGGTAATTGCAATTCGCAAAAATTTAAGACAGGAGCACGCAAAAATTTATCAAAACAGCTGCGATCTATGAACGCCACAACAGTGCGGTCACAGCTGAACAAAACTCAACTGCACTGAAAAGCCGTAGAATGATTTCCGGAGCACAAAACACTCCAGTAAAACGTTTTAAAGCAGAGTTTTTAAATAAATTTACTGAAGAAGCGGGGAAGGAGAGAGGCCGTGTCTGGACACGCACGGCGGGGGAAAAGGAAAGCCGAAACAGGAAGCATTCTTTTCTGCGGGCTGATGGGCAAACCAGTGAAACGAGCAGACCAGCAGAAAACTGCAGTCTCTTGAAAAGCACAAAAAATGAACTATGTAATTCCTGAAGCGGCAAAGTAACACACCAGCACCACACTAGCAAAGCAGTGCCCTCGTTCCCGTCACCGGCGACAGGCCAGTCCAGCACTGGTGACGGGCTGGCAGAACACTGGCCAAAGACACGGGCCAAAGGCCGGCTGAGTACTGGCCACACACTGAAACCTCTTGGCCACGAACAAAAATTCAACCATAGTGAACGATTCAAATATCAGACCCCATCGAGAATGACGCACATTGCGCGGACGAAATGAACACCGACTGAGTACCAGCCAGCTCGGACGAGACTTTTAGGACACAACCGGGCTACCACACACTGATCGTGCCTTCTCCGGCGATGCCTTTCACTGCTGTTACAAAAACTCGGCCTGGCTCGGC